AAGAAGAAGAGAACTTTGCTTTTGATCATACCAAAGCTAATGAGGCTAAGTGTATCTCAACAAACTGTACAACAAAGTCTGTTTGTAAAAACTATATTATTTGCTGCTTTTTATTATTAAGTAAATATAATTTACATTCGATGGCATACTCTAATTTTTTCTGGCATACAAGTTTGTTTTGACTTAATCATCCACCCAAGTTCGCTGTGAAACATCTTTTTCTAAAATAAAATACATTTTAAACAGTTTGGGTAATAGTTTATCTCAGGAAAAATTTTTATTGGTGAATATGGAAATAGATATTTTAGCTAACGTAAAAAACAAAGAAATTATACAATTAATTCCCGAAAAAAGCGATTTATAAAAAAAAATTTTTTGATTGATTGAATCTCAGTAAAAATGTATTAATATTACTTCTAAAGTTCTATGTTTATCAGTAGGTGAATAATGTGAAAAGTGTATTAAATTAAATTAAAGTTATATTAAAACAGTGTTGTTTAATTTTTGATTACCTAATTTTATCAACCACATTATTATTACAAACTAGACGTCCATTTTGGACCACTAACCTGTTATTTCTACATTTTAAGAATGTATGGGAGAGGGTATTTTTCGTTTAAAGTCTAAAAAATGTTTGTCCTATTGTATGTTCTAAACAATCACACATTTAAACAAGTAACTTTTTTTTTGTGGAGGAGGGGGGGGGGTGTTAATTTAATCTATGGGCCGGTTGAATGTGGAGCTCGATCGACTATAATTACCCAATCCGGCCCTGAGTTCAGCATATTATAGTTACTGTAACGAGGTCAAATAACTGTAATATTGTTATTATTATGCATTTAAGGGGAGGTTTTATATATGCTGACACTGGATCTATGGCCTATGCTGTTTAATACACGAAATTGTACTTATAATTGTTAAATTAATTTACTTACTAATGGTATTTACTCCTCAGTAATATGTGTTGTTGTAACCCTGCGCGACGCAATAAAGATAATATGAAAGTTTCTCACGCTTACCGATTTATTTTATTTTATACTTAAAATAGTTGAGGATTCTTGGAATAGGATTTTGACATTTTTGGTCGATTTCTTCAGCATAATGTCTTGTCCTGTACATCATGCATTGGTAAACGTCAAAAATCGTCTTTACAATTTTATGTTATTTTTTGGCGATATTAAAATTTGAGAACTACCTACGAAAACCGAGCTCCGCTCAAATATAGAATATAATTATTTATCGTAAACATGTTGAGAAAACCACCATGCATGTAAATGACAGGTCGATAGTGAAATGGCACGCACACAGGACGAAATGATTATAATTTCTAAAATATTTAAATTTGTACATGACGCTCGAGGTTGTTATAATATATATTCACTCATTTGACGTTTCATAAGTTTCATAGATATACCAAAGAAATGACCTAAAAAATGTATTAGGACCCACGTGATAATACAATACGCATACCTCTGGCGCAATCAGATTATGAAACAAAAAAAAAAAAAAAAACATTTGTTTTATGTTGTTCATGTTTAGGTACCAGGTAGACGACGGTACCTCATAGGGTTTATTTTAGATTTTAGAATATAAGTATGATTTATATTATAAACTTTAGAAGCCGGGTTATACTATCCACACGGCCACAAACCGCACATTTAGCGACGGACGATACCGTCCAACATCCATAATATCTACAGGGAGAAACGTCTTATCAGCTATCTATATAATATTATACACACTGTATACGGTCTTTTATTATCATACTTACATTATAATGTATAACTATACATCGACCACTAAAATCGGTCAATACAATGAATAATAATGCCCCGTCAATGTAAACATTTGTCCACTTTGTCCTCAACATTCATTTATAAAGCGCACGCGTATAAATTATATATTTGTGGTGAATATTTGCTATTGTTAATATATGATTACACGATTTGCATGTAGCACGCGTTACCATGATAATTATTATACATTCTAAATCAAAGTGATGACGTCGATTTGTTTCTGGTTCTTTTTTTCGCGACATTCCGATTAGGTATCAAACAAAAAAAAAAAACTCGGCTATTGCGTATTATACAACGATTTTGTGTAATTAACTGCAATTCGCAGGAGCTAGTTAAACGTACAACTTATGTATGTAGAACTCGACAACTCGTACAAAACGGAATATCTATGCAATTTTTAACGGACTCGTGCACGAAAACTTTTTGATGTACATTGTTATTAAACTTTTACGAGCACAGTCACGTCGATACGTCATTTGTGTGGTGCCTGCAGGTCGTCAAATCAACTGGAGTGGGACTGCGCGGTGCATGCAATTTTACAGACGAATTAAATCCAAGTTGACGTCTGAAAACGTGTGGACTTAAATGTCGTAGAACGTGGGTGTGAAAAGTAAAAACCTCATATCCGCATTATTATGATGGAGGGAGGAGGGTTCAGCATAACCAAAAATGCGCTAATCAGACAAAAAATTCAGCGTTACACAATATTAGTAGGTTCCCGTATAAAATGTGCGATCACTCAATGCAATTTCTTTTAGCAAATTTAAAAAAAAATCAAGCTCATGGATATTTATTGGACTAAAGTGTAGATTGTAAGACGGACCTGTGGGTAACAGCTGTAACAGTTAGTAATTGGCGCAGAATTTGAACTTTGAATGCTAGATTTTGTCGTCTATATAGAAAATGTATTATACATGATGAGTTCTGTATTTTTAATAATGAAAAATATGCATTTCGCCTAAAAATTAATTCAATTTTGATCGTTAAAAATAAAACTACTAAATATTAAATTAAAAACACGAGAAGATTAAGTGTGTAAGATAAATAATAATAATAATAATAATATAATATTAATTATAATCTTCTTAGTTTACTTTTTTTATGTAAATATTTACTCGCTTAAAATGTAATATTATTTCTGTTTTCGATAACACACATTACCTAAAGGTAGGTAGGCGTGTAAAAAACATACTTGTGGATCATGATGTCTTCACATGAAAAATTTAAAAAAATCACAAATTCTTTTATGCTTGCGTTGGTTTATATTTAAAAAATGTTATCAATCCCGTAATTATTGTCTACGCCTCTTGCAAAAAGAAGTATAATATTACCATATAACCTTCATTTTCATCCTACCTGTGATAAAAGAGAATTACGTGCATCTTAGGCCCGAGTACATTATATTAATACATGGCTTATCTAATAATGGGTATTTAACCAACGAACGTGCCTTACTTTTGGTCGATAATGTTAACAAATTTATGACCACTAAATTAGTGGATATTATATATTGTTATAACTATCGCGTATTCTGCAATTTTTGACAAATATTTAAGAATTTTTTTTGGTCGATGTCGCATTCAAATTTAAGGTTTACATGTTACGTATACAATTGCATATAGTTTCGAGACTTTCGTCGTCATAATTACATCTTTTCCCAGAGCACATAATTTGTTGTTATTTAATGTGACCTATTACAAACATTAATCAATTAATATCACGGCAATTACTGTACGTCTCTGTTGTATTAAAAACGTCTAAAACTAGTTTATTTGTTCGTTGCAGTTCATCGTTTACAACAATGATATAGCTATAAGCACAATAAACCATATTCATTATATTTTATAATAAACAATAAATTCGAATGGTATTATAATTTCAAATATTATTTCTTTGCGTCTGTATGATGATTTTTAAAAACGAGTCTTACCAATAATTGATATTTGATACATATTATATTGATTTATAGATAAAAAATTCGTAGAAAAAATTACATGTTACGTTAAAATATAAAATGCAAGATAAAAATTTAAATTAGAAAAATAATATATCACTTTTACTGGGTATACGGCTGTGTTTTGGAAGATAAGGACGTGATTCTAAAAACCTATATCACTCCAATGCGTTATAGTAAATACAGTTATTCAATGTATTTCTTATACGTTTATTAGCTAGTATTATATAATATTATTAATACAGATACCGTTAATGCAAATTATTTCCATGCATTACAATTTATTTAAAGTGCATTCTCTATACTATAATAATAGGTACCTATGTACTAATATAGTATCATACTAACGAAATCGAGCCGGATATAAGAAATGTGGACCTCATGGGCCAGTAGCCGCTCGTGACGGTTTTAATGGTTGGTGCTCAGAAACATATAAAGTGGATATAATCGTAATAAAGTATAAACCGATTTTCGAAAATTAAGGTGTCCTTAATATCGCAAACAGTATTACCTACATACAAATTTCTTGGATACACTGATTAAAATTAAAAATGCTTTAAACAAATGTTATAAGTGTTAAAGGAACATCCAAATTCTTAATTTGTACTTACTTTGTTAAATAATTATCCTGTTTAAATTATTAATTTAAATAATATATTAACATGATATGATAATAATTTAAAAATAACAAATAGTTACACCGTCTACCAAACCGGAAGTTTTTTTTTAAATTAAATAACTGTTTTGGCTAAAAATATTGAAATAAATATCATTATGTTATTATGTTTTCATTTATTTTAAAGTTATTCTTTTACGATTTTGAAATCATAATATAGGTACAACTAAACTTTAATTAAATAATGAATGTAGACAATATTATTTTCGTTTTTCTAGGTGGTTTGTTTGGAAATGAGTAGTTTTTCTCATAAAATATCCCTCCTTTTTTGACATAATTTTGGCTCTACAAATCGGACTCGGGATAACGAATGTCCATATATAAAGAAAATCGTTCCTTAGGCTTTACAAAAATAACTTTACTATAGCAGTAGGTCTTCTTTAATTTGATACTGCATACATACAGTAGTATACGATTGTTTCTTGCTCATTATTTAAATTATTCAAATCGAAACCAAAGACACCTGGCAACTATAATAATCACCAGTGACATGAGTTGTTAAAATATATTGTCTCTCCTGTAATGTAACCAGCAGTCAATCGTTTGAAAGAACACAAGGTAATTGAATAAGACGTTTTTTTAAGAAGTTTTTCGATCATCGGTTTATTTTCTGTACTAATGGGTTCCTATTCTAAATAAAATATATCAATAAAAAAATAATAATAAAAATCGAACATAATAATACAGTATAACAAGCAAAATACGTAGGTACATAGGTACGTGTATAATAATATATATACTGATAAACAATAAATACGAACCTATACGCAATTTCATTGTCAAAGTATAATATTTATAGCTACGACTTCGTTGTTATTATAATAATTTATAAATTACATTTATAATAATATATAAAAGTAATTATAATAAGTATTAGTCTATTTACCTATAAACATCAACGACACATAATTTATTATTTAATAATATGGTAAATACCGAACTCGAAAAAAAACATAAGAAAATATCATACTTAAATACTATACAATAAATAATAGTAAGTAAAATATGTAAGCTTTACGCAGAATCACTACTACTCGCCTACGTATTATTTTGACAAGATTTAACTATTCGAGCTGTAACTTTAAATTTTTAGAACAAAACAATAAAATTTAATAAAAAATAATAATAATAAGATCTAATAAAAAGTGGTGTTTTTATACAACAATCTAAACAATAATCAAATAATCTATATGCTACAGACATACATAAAGTATTTTTTTATATTACAATAATGATTTAAGTTTGTATTTACTGTTTCTTCCGATTATCGACATTTTCAGCTACTTATTACAATATGTCAATATATAAATTTAACTTTTAAAAACGAGGTAAACATGTTATTGTTGTATGTAAATATTTCGGTTTTATATATATAGTATACATAAAAAATACTAATTAACGCTAAATACTCAAAATAACACTAGCTGAATTCCGTTCAATAAAAAAGTAGAAAAAAGACATTTATCTAATGCACAACATTTCTCTATTAGCGATAGCATTTGCTAATTAATCATATTGAAATACAAATAGAGGATCACATCTACTCAAATCATGACCTATTTTCTAAAACAAATACAATAAAAATTTGTCTAAAAATGTTTAACAATTGTATATTATATTAATTAAAATGCAATTATTAATAACAAAACAAATTAGTAGAAAGAAAATTATAGACTATAATATAACGAATTAAGAAAACTTTATACAAACAGCATAAACAAAAACAAAAGTCAATTAATTTGCTTTTGTTCGATGTTGAATAATTTTACGAGCTAAAAAAAAATATATAACATTATCCTAATTATTGCGAAAGGTAAAGGTGAGTCCATTTCAGTATATCTGTGATTGTCTCTCATAACATTTTTATTTTAAATTTAAAATTATTTTCTTATAATACACATTCGATTTACTACCTTGGTGTTCAAAAATTACTCTAAAAATCTTAAAGATATGATATATAATATTATCCAAAAAAAGGAGTTCTAAACATTTTTGTAATTTTGTCTTTAACATAAACGATTTGAAATAACTAATCTACCCTGTGAATACATAAGTGTTGATGTGATGTGTGGCATGTAAGGTATGTATGTAGTGTATGTTTGTGTGTGTATGTGTATGTGTGGGTTTGTTTGGGTGAGTGTGTTTGTGTGTGTCTGTGTGTGTATGTGTTTTAATCCTTTATGATTTGTTATACATGTTTGTGTATTTGTATTTATTAGTAAGAAATTGAGAAGTAGAGAAAAAGAGAAACTGAAGTATTGACAGAAAACCCGGGCCATACAGTGGTTCCCATTTAAATTGCACTTTTCATATTACACAACGGTTGTACACTGTTAGTTAACTTGTAAAAACTAATAAAAAATGATTAACAACAACAATAACAACAACAGCGTAAGAGCTATAATAAATAGATTGCGAAAATGTAGTATAATTTTAAAACTTATTGCCTATAAATAAAATATAAAAAAGTACCTATGGAATGTAAAAAGATAAAATAACACAAAATTCAACTAAAAAAAATATATCACATAAAAGCGTTTTTGTTTGCTCAGTTACTGGACCAAATTGCTTCAGTTGACTAGTGAAATTATAAAAAAAGAGAAAATGTACGAAGAAAATCAAATCATAATATAATAGTAATAATAATAATAATAATATAATTACTTTCCATAAAAAAAAAATTGATTTTTAGTTATTTTTACCATACAGTAATTAAATATTAAAAATATTGCTTAGATTTTTTTTTTGTCTTTTTAAACGAACTCAAGATTGTCAATGATGAACACAGTACAAAGACAAAAAAAAACATTTTCAGGCCAAATACATCGTAGGTACGTAATATATAGAAAGATAAATGGAGTTCTATTACGATGCACAAAACACACACATGTGTGCGTTTGTGTATACATACATATTAAATATATAATATTATTTAATAAGATCAATTACATCATAATACTATTATATGAAAATGATGATATTATATCCGCACTCCACTAAGCCATGAACACATCAGGTATGTGATTAAAAAAAAAAATGCATGATATGAAAATGATTAATGTTATTGCAAGAATCCTAACAAGAAACGAGAACGAGTATATTATTCGTTACTATGTGTAAGATGAAATTTTGATCGTCATTGAATTTCTATAACTATACAATAACTAAAAAAGAACACACTTATCATACAAGATTGTTTCGTTGTACATGTACCCTATGTCATAATTTTTTATTATATTATACATATTATGTTCTATATAATATTTATAAAATGTTTATTTCGTTTTACATAGAATTATTCTAATATTAGACGATATAGTGTTTTTTTTTTTGTATTTTATTGCTCAATAGTGTAGTATAATAATATATAGGTATATATTATATTATATCTTTGATCGACATGATGTCAATGGTTATGTGTTGTACTCCGCGCCGACCGGACGAATATTTGGGAGGCGCAAGCATGTTTCGACAGGAGCCGGCTGAAGCGCGTTAACAATATTCATCGTAAATTTCAAGAGATTATCGTTACGAAGATATTGTTAAAAAATTATTATTATTATTAATACATTTTTTTTTCTGCTTTTGATTGTAAACACGTTTTGTTCGTTTAGGAAGTATTCGATTCGTTTCAAATAAAAAAAACGAAACTTTATAAGTATGTATAAAAAAAAAACCTGTAACAATAAAATAGAAAGATAATAATTCAGCCTTGATGCAAGTCCTCTTCGCACTTGGGTATGTCGAATATTTCGGCGAATAACGGCGGCAACTTTAGCATGTGCCAATTTAACCTGAACCACTCGAGGTACGAAACGTGTCGGGCACCAATAGTTCGCAGTTCCGGCAGTTTCGACAACACCGTTTGAGCCAAATTCTTATCTCCTCCGTGACCTTTGCTCAGCTGAAAATTTTAAAACAAAATAATATTAGGTACCTTGTATAATATATATCCTCTTTCGAGATTCCATATGTGCTGTGGTCGGAACAGTGGTCTGTGATACACGCAAATAAGTGCCAAGTATTTCCGTTAAATAATGTTGTCATCATATTTACGCTCGTTACCGTGTCAAGCAACAGTGAATACGCAGGGTGTTCCGTGTGACTGTAGATAACCCACTCAAGACTAACCCAGTGGCAAAAATCAGGTACGATTAGTGAGGGAGAGAGGCTAACATTTTAATATATCTAAGTATGATAGGTTTGTATTTTCTCGCTTAGCTCCTTGATTGAATAATCGTATTTTTACTACACATGCAGGATTTATAAATGTAATTCAATGGCACGATGAAATTTGTAAAATTTTTAAACAAATCGCATAACTTTATATTCTAATTAATGAAACTATATAGTATCTATTTTGTTAAGATTAATATGGTAGGTCTGAGCCTCTAAGGTAAACCGTATACAATGTATACTATACATATATAACATATATATATAACTGTAGTGTTGTACTTTATGATATTAATAAATAGCTAATATTTTTATTATTTTTTTGGTGATAAATCACCAACAATTTCCTCATTTCATTGTGAAAAATAAGTAGATAGTAATAATATCGAACTAATAAATTTGTTTAAAACTTTAAAATATTAATATTATTGCAATATTCCGTATACTCGTATCTTTCTTTAAATGAATTATTGATAGTGCAGACATTTTAACATAAAGGGTCATCTAAGCTATCTATAATATATTAATTATTAATCACGGTCGCATGATAATAAACTTTTGATGACGGTCTGATACTTAGAAACTCTGGTCAATACGCCGTGATTTTATTTTTTGCGTTGTGACGGACATTATTGATCTATAAGTGATAGGTGCTTCACTGCTTCGACCTCCGAGTTAAATATTTAATGCCTGCGCTTTTCTCTACTCCCATAATTTTTCTGGTAGGAGGGAGGGGGTAAAATCGATACGTCACATTTGCATACTTTATACCCTGTGTCCTGTAATATGTATATAATTTAAGAAGCACCATAAAATTGCAGGTATTGACTATTGGGATGTTGCTAGCTATTACTTAATTCCAATAGTGACCGCCTGTAATATCAATAAAAGTTGTGTATTCTGGTGACAAATCGTATATGCTCTTGGTTCAGATTGAAAAAGTTCTCTGTACCATGTATATCAAGTTAATTTATAGAATTTGACGTTTTACACGGGAGAAAAAAAAACATTTTATTTTACATATTTTTTTTTGGTGAGCGTGTAGTATTACTTGGCATTTTACACTGCATTATCAATTTAAAGCTATTAAAATTGAGCTGTCGTTTTATAAATATAATATTATGGATTTATATTGTGAAACTCGTTATGATAGAAAAGTTTATTTTGAAAAAAAATATCCCTAATATTGGTGTCTTTTATTAGGACACCCCCCTCCTCCATTATTTCCCCGAAGACGACGACTCACTTGTAGCTTGAAAGCTTCAACGATCCGGTCCTGACTGTGCTGTACGGTTTTTACGTCCGAGACGCCGGGCCTGTCCGGCGTGAGCAGTACGATGGCGGCGAATAGACCAACTTCGGTGTCCGTCAGCGATAAACCATTGAAAGATGTCACCAACTGGAACACGTCTGTGGCGAAGTCCACCTGCGGATAATTAAATGATTTCATACTTCAGTAAACACAAACAATACGCTGCACGACGAGGGGTTAATGATAAATTACTGTTTCAATCACCCTGACAAAGCTGCTCTCATCAAAAATGGAGAGAACTGGATTTAAAAAATGGCGCGCGAATGGAAATAGTTTTAATGATTTCGGTGTTCTATTAGGAAATTCTGTTGACTGTTTTTTTGTTGCTATTAACTTGTTTAAGTAGGTACGTATTTGAATAAAATGATTGGCCGGAAAATGTTAATAAATATTTTAAATTGGGGTTGCGGTTACATGAATTCCGTGTTTCAATATTCACTGACGTCACTATATTTTACGTTATACATATTTTCATATGTATGTTATAAGTAAGCCAAGCGACGATCTGATAACAATATTTCTATAATTTGTTTTTGAACTATTAAAATTTTTTAAACCCGAAATAAACTGAGGTGTATTCGGTTTTCTAACTATAATTTGTTTTTTATGTTGTAGACTTCGACGAAAAAATAAAATATCAAATCATTGATACTCTGTATTAATGTATTTAGTAGGTTTTTTTGTGTACCGTTATCACGTGAGTATAATTGATATCCTGAAATACAATTGCTATTCCATTCAAAGTACTTATCAGGCCTTATTAGAATAAAACCAGACAATCAGTGTTCAAAGAAGATAATACTTTGTGCGTAGGTACATTTATTACATTTCCCCGAAATTATTTTGATAAATCATAATGAACTTGACATTTTTAAGTAAATCAACATACATAATTTGACTCAATCAATACGAATCTCTAATACCATGACAGTGTACTGTGCACTGAAGCGTAGTATAGTATTGGTTGCTCATTGTCTGTATCACAAAGTCCATCGCTGTAGTGAATGAGCGTACTTTTTTGTCAAATTAACCAGTTAGTACATTTATTTTGTTGTTATATTTAAATACATCTCACTTTCTTTATGAATGGCAAACGACAGTGTGTATGATCAGATTTAAGTGAAAAATATCAAAGCTTCCTCTCTTTAGCACAAGTCTAGCTTTTAAAGAGAGAATAAAAAACAGAATAATACTTTTATACATATTAATTTGAATATTGATGTTATTATTATTATTATTTTGTTTTGTTTTTTATATTAATAAATATCATTATTGTTATAATATTGGTGGAATAAATATCATTATTGTTATTATATAACTTGATTTTCTTTAATTCAATGGCAGATATTTTGGTATGAGCCCCAAAATTGTACTATTGAAATTTGCAATACCTTTGCAAAAGACATATTTCTTTAAAAAAGTTTGTCTCTCCCAACCCATCGAACCCATTATTTCCTCGAGGTTTCCGATGAGTAAATTCACGCTGGTTGAAATATATTCAATTGTCTCTCAACCATAATATGTTATTTTAACTTTTAACTGAATTTAAGCACCCAAGTCCCGAGAACAGCCATAGTATCGCTTAGTCTTCACTATACAGAATAGTATGATGAAATGTGAATTCTTTTGAAAAACGCGATGTTTTGTTATATTATAGTACATGTCGTACGCGGTTTTTATTTATATGAACTTTATTTCGAAAAAAACCATTCGGAAGTATTCTTCGGTAGTACGCTTGTAGAATTAATTGGCAACAATAATTAATCAGATATACGCGTGTACTATATTACCAGTAAGTAAGCATTTATATTTGTAATCATCTTATGGAGGGAAAATACTTGTCACTATAGTCTTCTTGCAGATGATAAACTATTGAATAATCATAAAATCATTTCAAACGAAAATCACAATACTCATAGAAATAAAATCAACATTTTAATTTATAGTAGTATGTTCGGTATGAAAGTGTAAGAGAGCTTGCTAACAGAAGATTTTATGTGTCACACTTTTATTTAATCATCATAAACTTTGTTTTAAGCGAGTTTTGCGTATATATACATTATATTGACAATATAGTATACAATGTACAATGTACATACTTAACAAAAATGGATACGATTGGAAATTATAATATTATGCATTTTGCGTAAAAATTTTTTTGTCAGTATGTATAGGCTAGATGGAACATCCAATTCTATTTGGCTATCCACCAAATTTAATACTATAGTATAGTCTACAGGGCTTGTTGAAAAATGATATCGAAAATATTATACGAGTGTGCTGTGCACACAATGTCATCGTCAAAGGCTCTACACTTCCATGTAAATGTATATGTTTGAGACACCTTTGAATGTTTAGGTGCCTACTTGTTAAAAATACTTTCGAAATGTATTTCAAATAAATAATTATTTTTAAAAAGGAATTTAAACATATTTAAAAAATATTTCAAATACCTTTAAAGGCCTATTTAAAGGTAATATGAGAACTTCTCAAGACCAGAATTTGTCCTGGTATATTTTATTTAGGTAAATATTTTCATACGATTATATTTTTAATTTGAGTGGAGGTAATGCCAACGATAAATTCCCATAGAATTTGATTAAAGTATACTCGGGATTTTTTAGCATTTTGTGTTTTTAAATAGACAACCAGAAATAAAGTATGTTTCATATCCATACTTGAATGTTTAATGACAAAATACATGGGACATTCGACGAGATCTTTGACTAAACATACATATATGTTTAAAATCTTAAAACATTTTACACATAATATATTAGATATCGTGTACTGGGAAACACTTGGGAGGGAGAAACACATCGGCCAGTAAACGGGTTTCCCCTCGATATTGATAGTGGATTTACATAATACAAATATATAATGTCGAATAAAATGCGTACGTCGTAAATGAGCTCCAGTTGCTGTCGTGTGATGAACGTGCCGTCGTAGAAGGTGAGCGAAAGATCCGTGGCCAACCTGGACACGTAGCACAGCCATAGTTCGAAAAATCCCACTTTAATGAGAATCAGCTGATCGTCTTGGCTGAGGTCTATGAAACCTATAACGAAATAGTCAAACGGTGTGTGATTAGTATGCCGGCCGGAACGAGCTGGTAAATAAAATCTCCAGCATAATTGTAAGCATCATGGTGTGTGAGTGTGATATTAAACTAGGCAATTATTTTAAATGTAACACTCATTTTATCAAAAGTATTAATAATTTTTTTTAGATAATTTTAAATTATTACAAAAAAATATTTTTCATTATATTTATCGATATAATATTTAAGTTTTCAATTTTTAGGATGACAGCATACAATTTTAAATTCATATTCCAACTCAGAATATATTTCGGAGAATTTCAATTCATAAAAATCAAAGTTTCAACGTGTGTAACTAATCTAATCTTTAAACACTATTATAGCTAATTATTTTTTTCTTTAGATATTATTTTACTTAAAGTATATGGTTTAATCCCGAAAATATTCTCCGCTTAGAATTTGGTAATAACCAATAGGTATTTGGACTTTGACATTATTGACTGCAAACCACAATTTTAATTTTGCATATAATGGAATTTCATTTAAGAGGTAGAAATAGACAGAAACAGTATAGAGGGTATAACAGAAAGAACTGACAAAATATGTTACCAATAACAACAAAAATTGTTTTAGATGGTTACTTAATTACATTCGACAGCTATTCTTTCTCTAGACTCTGTAATCAGGTATATAAGTATTATCTTCTCCTTAAGTTGCTTTCAATCGTTGTCAAATAAGTTTCATGAAAGTCGAATCTCTTTTCAGTCTCGTTGTACCTAACCGGCGAGAACACCGCCATTAATTTTAGAACATGGAGTTGCACCATAAGGTGCAATTAGTGAGTTGTAGTTGTGAGTCGGTTTGACGTGTAAACCTAATGAAACCTTTGATGAGACACACACATAAGATACTACACGGAAAACTGTATTTTCTTACCTGGCACTCTTTTTGCGAACTCCACTACCCTCTGCACGGTGGGCGTGATGTGCGCTGCCAATTGTTGCCACAGCCATATTTTTTGCTGTTCCTCGCTGTCCGCCGTTGACGATGCCACCTCTGGGCTGGAGCATCCCTGAGCGGGCTTCACATGCAAAACAAATACGAAATAATTAGTCAATACATGCAACAGCCCTCATGTACATGATACAAAATATATATAATAAAACAATCATTAAAAAGCGTCACGGATTACATTTCGTGGTGTAGGTGCCTGCCTACAATTTACTGTACATTTTACATTTCGTTTCCTGCAAAAGATAATATATTTAACGGAATATTCGTGTTACAATAAATTTGATTGTAAAAGCGAAAGAAACAATACATGTTTGAAAGGAAATTAATAAGAAAGATTTTTATTAAGAACGGTTGGATAGTATAATGTTTACAGAATATTCATTATTAAAACTGTACAACATAAAATAAATAGGTTCTACTTATTTTCATTAAAGGCATTAATGCCTTTACGATGCGGCTACGATGCTGTAGCAAACCGTTATCATGACTATATTTATTTTATATTATATAATATTTTCCCTTTTATCTCAACAAAAAAATTCTTCACTAATTTAATTACATACTACAACATGAGGACATTGAAAAAAAAGATTATGTTCCACGATTTTTAATTAAAATTATCGCATCATATTATGTGACCTTCATAGTGCACGAGCTCATCATTGTCTTCAATTCTGAATTCAACATTTTATAAATTCTGCTTATTTTAAATTATGAATCGCTATATAGCGAGTAGGCAAAACATTTAATTGAATTTAATATATGACAACTTCCCCTTTATAAATATAATATAGTTTTATTTGCAAAAACACTTAAGAAACTATTTAATAAAGAAAAATAAATAATAACGATTTTAGTTTCAAATAATTATAAGAGTAAACTTTATTTTGTGATAGTACTTAGTAAATGAAATTATAAAATCATAATAGAAAAATATTGTAACTAGATTGAAATTATTTCTTATGTTTACGCCTTTACCTGCATTAAGACTTGATTTAAGGATGCGGAATTAATATATACTAATACTACGCATCAGAAAATGTTCGACAAAATATGATTAGACTATTTTAACTTCTCATATTCGACCAATTTAAATTCAAAATGAATATGTCCTTCGCTTTCAAAAATCTAAAAACAAATATACGCTTTGATGATAATTGAAAATTAAAATCTATACGCGTGTTTCAATGCGATATATCATTCAATTATCTGGTATTTGTACATCAGTATAGTTGAAATGTGAACCAGAAAAATTCGAAAAACAATTCGAAAATTCGTAAATTGCGTGGAAAAAACAAAACTTGCGATGATGGACCCGGGCCCAGATGCGATTATTATCGTACATGCTATCGTTCAGCCTTTGGAGCAGGTCTAGATTCCAATAATAATCCATCTTAATGTATTGAGTATACTTATGCTAGTATGTTATAATCCTAAGGATAGCCATTATTTCTGGGAGGTATAGGACGTCGGAACGGATGATATAAATAAACCATATTTCATTGTTCGGAACAACTTCAGATGCTATACATTATATTGATGGGAAGGGGGAGGACTACTATTTTCACATGAGCGACGAAATTTTATTGGCTTTATAAATTAAAATGATGTTTGTTATTATTTTTTTTTCAATAAGTATAATTGTATGTTCACTATTAGGAGCTTTTAGCGTTCAAAAAGTTTCGTACAACCTCACAATACCGTTGAGAAATAATTGGTTATTGATTGTTTTATGTGCTCTCGGAGTTGGTTTCTTGTAAATGGTAAAATTGAAAAACAGGGAACTTTATGACAAATTTTTCTGGACATAATCTCGTTTGGTGATCACTGGTAGTTCATACAATTTTGATGCATTATAATGTTATACTTTGTCTCCCCCGCAGAAAAAACCTTAGCCTCGGTTTCATCAGCTCAGGCCTCAAGCTGACAAAATATACGCGAAGAATTTAACTTTATTACGTACCATTTAAAATATAATCCTTAAACTATCTAAGCATCAGTTAATCAAATACAGTATTTTTTACCAACACAGTACATAACTTGGTCACCCCCCATTTGAAGGTTTTGTGGGAAAAATTGTTGAAAACAAATTTAGCCCTACGGTTTTACGCATGCCTACATTATTTATGATTACTGCAAATAATATGTACTTTTTTTTTTTTCGTTTAAACCGACAGCAGAGGAGGATCTGTTTGAACACTACTAATCCTCTGCTGCCATCGTTTATTATAATGTTTAATAAATAATATGTACTTTGAATGATACATTTTGCTGTATTTGCACGCTTTTTACAACCGTACCTACTATTATACTACCAAATAGTACCCAAATGCACACACAGACATTGTGGCTGCACCGCTGAAATGGAGCATTACCACTGTATGGACTAATGATAATAATCATAATTAACAACAATAATGACGCATGGTGAGAAATAATTACAGGAGAGGCGACTGGTTTCCGGAGCAGTGTCCTGGTCAGCTCGTCCGTGTAATCGCAGTTGGTCAGGTGCGCCTGCGATATGGCCGCGATCACGTCGTACGATATGGACACGCTGCCGCCGTTGGTCTCGATTACCGCGGCCGGTCCGGTGCCGGTCATGATGGGTTCAGCCGTGGCCGGTGCGCTGCCGCCGATCCCTATGGCCACGGCGGCCGCCACGGCTGCGGCCGCGTTCGCAGCGACTGTCGTCGTGGTCGCCGTCGTGGTGGTCACCTGGACGGCCGCCGCCATCGAATCCGCGGCCGACACGGTCTTCGACTCCGACTCGAGTTGCTCACGAGACCTCTTCGGCACTCTCCCGTACCGAACAGCTGAAAAAACGACGATCACGGTGAGTAAATGATAAAATAAATGACGCCCGTCTAAACGTCAAACACTTATGGACTGACTTTACACCCAGTTCGAAATTCGATTTTTATAGTACTCGAAAAAATATTAAATTAAAGATATAATATGTTGCCATTTCAAAAAGTAAGAACTTAAAAAATTATAACAATTAACGAATTGCAAAAAACAGAATTTTTTCTAACAAATTTTGTTTTGCAAATAATCTAAAATTGTGTGAGAATAACATTTTTTAAAAAGTTAAAATTTTTTGAATTATTTAGTGTTTATAGAATAATGATTCATAAAAAATGTATCACCTATCATATTATATAAAGTTAAACGTAACAAGCAACAACTAACAGTCATAAATTAATTAATATCTTTAAAATTTCCATACAAATAAGGCACGAGTATTAAATTTTGTTTTGAATACTTAGAACTACGCAATATTCCAACTTGCAAACATATTTATTATTAAATTAGAGATAATTCTATGTCCTACGTTAAGTCATTGTATATGTATAAGTATAAAGTATAATGCATTGTTATACTCGATACTCGAATGACTATTTTTTAATAACATTTTATTTTTTATACGATGTCAAAAAATCAAAGGTCGGTTCATTTTTTTTTTCATTTATAGTTTCAAACATTTTATGAGACGATGAATATAATAAAAATTCCAATTTTTTACAATAAATACGATTATTTTGTAGTATTAATAATAATATCAATAAATATCATTCTACGGGTTCCCTGTGATTTCTCCTGAACGTATACGTCACACAACGTACCGAAGTGTCTAGATATTGCCTATGCCGTTGTTTGATGAGGAATATCTTTACCACTAAAAAAATAGATAATAATTATATTGTCAATTATTATCATTGCCAGTTCTTGTAACCGGCTTGTGGGTGCCACTCAGAATTTACCGTTTATATTTCATATAGTTCATGTGCAATTGTGTAGCCGCCAGCAGGATGGTATGAAGGATGTATTTATTCAGAGTATACTATACAGTGAACATGATACCACACTATGTGTCTATGTATATAATAGTGTGTACTGTGTACGTTAATAGGCTACAATTTATGATGGATTTGTGTGGTATCGAGCCATTTTTGTATGTGGTATCGGGCTATCCATTTCGTGCGGTGTTGGGTCGAGTATGTGTGGTAATGAAAAGCGTGGGCATAATAAACACTATACAGACTACAGATAGTGATTCACCAATCATTCACGCCACCACTTTTCCTCAAATACTAAATATTATTCGAATTCTGACTTTTTAGGATTTTTAAGTGTAAGTACTTAATTGTTATATCCTATATCATATTTAAAAATTCATGGATTTTAATTTACATGGATTTTTTTTAATCCCATTTAATAAGGATTGTCGTGCGTCAATAAAACCTTATTTTTTTCAAATGCAACTATAGTTTTTATTGTTATGCAAATTATTTTATTTTGAGCCAAGTTATATAAATCGAGATTCGATCGAGATATTTCATTTTAAGTAATATAAAGATAATATGTAATTCGTGACAATGTGCTTAACGATTTGAGAGCTATGGTTATGTTAAAATTAATAGTTATAGAAATTAGTTACCTACCTATAACATTTTATCATTTGTAAAGTCTGTATATAATTATTAGGTACTAAACTAAATATAATATATTTATTTTATATTTTGTGTAAAACCATTTCTATTGATTAAAACCCTAAAGTAGGTACGTTAAGTTTCATAAGAAACAATCAGCTTCAATTTCGATTTAGATACATCCCTCATTTACAAAAAAAAATCATGTTCTTAACAATCAACATTAAAAAAATGTGGTTCTCATTTGAAAAAAAGGTGTTTGTACCACCACAGGACTCTTCTTAAATTATATAAAATACCTAAGGCCTAAGTATTCGAAAATATGCCAGTCTTCGTGCTAGAATCATAGTTTGAGTAATTTCATTTTTTAAAGAAAATATCTTGATAGTTTATGCTTGGTGATTCACCCTCTATATAACCAATCCACCTCAGTAAAAGATCATTTAATGTTTTGAATCTTCACCGCTCTAATCGGTGACTGACAAAGCTGTGTAGGTTCGCTTCTGCGCAGGCGTCATAACAATCTCGTCTTCGTGGACGTGTACGTATTTATAATAATAATGATAATGATTATATCATAACAATAAACTAATGACTAATGAGTAAATGAATAGTAATAATAAAATGATTTATGATGTATTATCGTGCAAACAATACTGCAGCGGTGGTCGTTGGCGAGGAAACAAATTGGAACGAGAGACTCTAACCTAGCATAACGCGTGCTGGTGTATTTGATTTCCTACATCGGTCGGTGGGTGGCAGCCAGAGGAGAATAACACATAGTAACAACTAACCAATAACTAGTAAGTGTACCTAGTATAAATATATGTAATTATTTCCAACGTGCTGTATTATTTTAAAAGCGGTCGTACTATATCCCAATATCCTTACTGCTGATGTAGTTTCGAAAAAAAAATTCTTTTGGAACGAACGAACGAACGATATTGTGATAAAATAATAATAACAGTACGGACAATGAAGGATATTGAATTTCTGTAAAAAAAAGATTACTACGACGTGTTATATGGGCGCGTTTAGAGTAATATACATATGTGAGCGTTTTTCAATGACAATAGTACCTACACTATATTTTTTTATTCTCTGTACATACATTTTCCTGAGTATACCAATTCCCTGTTACATGTTCTCTGTCGTTTGTGTGTACACTTCTGCAGCGTCGTCATCGACAGTAGGTATATAACATCATATTAAACACGTTTATTACTCGAACGCGTGTATATCCGATACGGTTGATCAAACGAAAGACACAATAATCGCCAAGATGATGATACAGCGCAGTGCAAGATATATGTCATAATAATATGTTACTGTCGCATGCGTTCGTGTGTTTTTTTTTTTTATGCATTTCTGTGAATTCATGTAGTGGTGGTTTATTTTGTGAGGCGAGGGATGTCGAAGGAGTGTACCAAATAGGTACTCGAAAATAAATAATTTATTATACTTAAATTGTCAGCGTACCGTTCATAATTTTTCTAAAAAGTTAATATTATAATATGTCTTGAATAACGCTCATTTTTAGATTATTCTTGTGAAGTTATATGATTATGTCTTCTACCTAGTATTTTTTTCTAAACCTGCAGCAGTTGTGAACTAACGACCATTGGATTAATTAATATATTTATTTTATTTTTATTTTGCGATCCGTAAAATTATGATTTTAATAATTACAACAGTTTATTTACAATAGTTTAAATTATTGCTGAATGAGTTATTTCCTTAATAAATATTATATCGAGATGAAAAATATCATGGATTTAAGGATTTTTAACATTATTAAGTTTAAAAGCGCTATAGTTGATACTAAAAGTCCTTTAATATTTAATTGGATTTTTATTTTGCTTTCATATGTAATATGTTTAGTTTATTTTTTTTTTAAATCGGTACCTAAAAATGTCTTTTGATTTTTTTTACTTAAGAGCTTATATGAATCAAATAATAAAGGCAGTAAGCCAGAGAATTCAATAATAATATATTAGAGAACTATGTGCATTATCCATAATGTAGAATAAAATATACGATGTTCTAATCTCTTATGGTTTATGAGTCGACAAAAAAATTAGTTATAATAAATAAAAATGATCGTCTATTGAACTATTATTAATCTATTTCAAAAAATTACTTAGAGTTATATTCTTCTCGAACTTGGGTTTATATTGAATTTAAAAGATGAAAAAAAAACCAATAACATAATATTACATTATTTATCCTAAAAATGAGAATAGGGCTTTCAATAGCGAAACAAAGAAAGAAAAGAGCTCTATTCAAAATTATATCAAATAATAAAAGAAATATGGCTTGTTGAGGCGCGGTCGTACTCTCAATCTGTGGCAGCATATTATATCGTTGCTAGCACTCGGATGGGTGACCACCCGGGTTTTTAGCAACACATCCTTGCCACACATACCAACCGCCCTCCCCCCACACAGTACCAGGCTAATGACCTTAGTAGTCGAAGGCTTAATCCAAAAAATAATATAACAAATAAAAAATAAAATAAAATAAATGCATAAAGAGTTTATTGTTTTTAAAATTATAAGCATAATACCGATACCTGTATAATATAATTATTGTCAATAACCACCCTAACACTTTCACATTATAATAAAAAAAATAAATATATTATTACAGTTAAAAACAGGGATTTTTTTATCAAGTGTTTATATTATTAGCCTCGTTTACTGGTAATATTACAAAATTGAGAATACCTGCTTATAATTATGAAATGCCATGATTTTTATTATGGTATAGATATACACACCTGACTTGAACCTGTCGAATAGCGCAAAAACTCACACACGCACATAAAAAAACCACATGACGTTTCAACGTTTGTATAAGTTGTGTCTACATATAACAACTTATCCAACGTCATGTGGTTTTTTTAAATGTATACATGGAGCAGGTCTTCAGTATAGTTTCATAGACAAGAGTGCCTGATTCCCGTCCCTAGAAGATTGAACGATGATATAAAAATACATCCTTGCGGTGCCATCTGTCCGATTCTTACAGCAACTAAAAATGTATACTGTACCACTTACACGACTATGGCAAAAATGTGTGTTGTTTACATTTTTTTTGTTCATTTTTTCGTGAGTGGAGATATACTCAAACGAATTTTCTCCTGAAGTTAGATATTACATCCAAACCGAAGTACGCCAATTGCTGAAATTCTAACCCGTCGTTGGTAGGTTGGGCAACTCTTTTAGATTTGTATTTGTCCACAAAGCCATGTGCCTGATACTAGTAGTGCACATAGGATTTCTTTCAGAGGGGTTATGTTAATAATTATTTTTCCAAAATTACATACTATAGGTACTTATATTTAGTGGAAAAATACTAGAAATACATTTTCATGAAAGAAGATATTCCGGGGGTTGGGTTGTCGAATATGTTTAAAATTAATGACTAATAATAAAGCTGCACCTACAATCTACACAAATCCACCTTTATTTATTACACCTTGTGACCAGAATCACATGACATTTGGCGTGCATGTATATAATATACTGTTGCCACTGGCAATAAAAGGTATACGTGGCCGTAGGTGTTTTCGAGCCGTTTGGACGACCGATGCAGCAATGTCTAAAATATGTAGATTCGTATTGAATGTGGACGTTCGGCCACTGAACTCGAATCCGGTGTCAAAAGTGTATGTAACAAGCCATATAACCCGCGGGCGTGTTGACTGAGCCGGCATGTTATGTATTTAGTATGTTGATGTGTGGAGAGGTAGAGAGGATAGTCGTGAGTCCCCTTGATGAAGTGTCACACCCCCAAAATATTTCATAATAAATTATGTTATTATAATAATTTGTTTAAGTCTTGCCTATATCAATTTCATGATGTTCATAATATGGTGGATGTCACATAATATTGTTATTATAGTTTTGTTCGGATTTTGACTTAGATTTAGCTTGGCTGTTATTAAATAAACATATAACACCGTAAAATAGAGGTTGGTAATTGTTAAAAACAAAAATTAAAATATATTCTATCTATAACTGGGTAAACATTATTGGAGTAAATGCCGACGGATTCTAACTTCGAGTGGATGATTATATTAATACTATTACTATTATTTAAACACTAATGAGCCAATGTGAAATAATAGTGATGATAATAAATTGTAAGGTCACCATTTTGAACAAATATGAAATAATATTACATGGGTTTGATAACATTGATGAATAATGCAATTTTTATAACACGCTGCCGTGATGTGACGAAATTAGAAATATGTTCATTGGGTTTAATAGCATTGAAACGTGAATACTATAGAGTATAGAGTATGGAAATAATACCTAACCTACGATAAAAATCGAAAAAAAGTACGATTATTGAATTTTAAAACTCAAGTACATTACTTAAAATGCTATTTAAATATAAATAATAGTATAAAAGCAGGCCTTAAATCATGTGATATTATTGTGCAATGTGCCACGTAAAAAATATGGTACCTATAGTACAAAAACGAAAAAAAAATATTCAAATCGGCCTAGTGAATCATTTGAAAAATAATAGCACATTGCAGTGTATTTTTCACAAGAATAAACCGTTTTCTTTTATGCTCTTGGCAGATTATTATAAAACGTGTGCTTTTAAAATGATTACTCAATTTACTTTGACAAAAAAAAAAAATTATAAATATTACTGTGCAAATTCAATCCATTAAAACGTTACAGAGCAAACGCATTTTCACTCTTAATAATAACCAGTCTTGTTTTTAAAAATCATACATTACAGAAAAAAAATTGTTTGTTTTTGAAACTTGACGGCGATTAAGTTCATATAATAATGCATTCAACGATCTACCGATAAATTAGTTGTATAATATTTTTCTAAACTTTTATTTCTCTAAACAACCCTATGTACGTATATTATTTTCATTCGACGTCCAACGTATCCGTTTTAGAGTTGCAAGATGGCACGATAATACGATGCATAAAAAATTGTACTTACAATCCCTGGACATGCCGACCGTCAGACATTTCTTGAATCGGCAGTACTGACATCGATTTCTGTTTAATCTGATCACCAAACATTTACCGTCCCTCAGACACCGATATTCGATTTGTTTTTGTATACTCCGTCTGAAGAACCCCTGTAACAAACATTTTTCAAATTATTTAAAGTAATTATTATACTCGATAATTGCACTGTGTCGAACAAAATCGGGATCCTTGAGCTATGCAATTTACTGGAGAAATAGTGAAAAGAAAATTTGTTCTTATGTATTGCCGTTATATGAATGTTATAATGACAGAAAAAAACCGTCGAAGGTCAAGGAACCGGATAGTCCAACGGTACCGCATTATCCGCCTGTTTACATTTTTTTTTCATCTACAACGTCTGATGACTGATATAATAATAATACATAAAATATATACTTTCAAATAAAACGAGAAAATAAACAATAACAATAAGTATACGTAATTTTAAAATTTTATAATTTCAACCACATTTATGATCGTTATTGTTTTTTGTTTTTTTTTGCTATTGTGCAACGAACGGACACAGTATTTATTACCGTGAAATAATAATTATAATAAAATTTTTCAATCGTGCGTAATAATGGACTGGGAAAAAAAACGAAATGATCCGGGTAATTTCTTTTCTACTTTATAATTTAGTTTTTCTAACACATACGTCAGCGTGTTTGATAGATTATTAAAAATAAAAATATGTACCTACATGAAATATTATACGTATACGTAAACATCAAAGCGGAAAGACAAGAATTTGCCTCCATATTGAAAACGGTGCGTACGGCTATATACGATGCATCATAATATAATTTACCTACGAGTAACGTGTACATTTATATTTTATTTATAATATATTATACGAATGCCGCATGTGAATGCTGTACAATATATTGTGTGTCCAAGTGTTTTTCGATGTATAGGAACGGAGTACTATACGGACGAATTGTACGTATAACGCTCACTTGCAGACAACGTATATACTGTCCGAACAGTTCTCATTAATTACTACCGTCTGAGTGGTCCGGCCAAATTAATTAGGCACACTTAATATTGTGTCTTTATACATACCATGTAGTGTACTGTACAGAACTAGTAACTACGGTGTACTTACTACCTATATGGCTGTATGCATATAGGTACATTATATAGTTGAGTCGGTAAACTGTATAGGTACATTGGTACATGATATAATATCCCCGGGGGCCAGGACTTCGTAGAAAAACTTGACGTCAGCTGTGTGTGCATATAATAATATGGGTACAGTAGGTATTTTATTTTATTTTATTTTTACATACGTCTGTATGAAAAAAACGTAGAACGGTCCGCCTATATTATTTCACCCAATCGACATCAATCACGGTTTTATTATTCTAATACATGATTAGGAGGTCTATATTGGTTTTCTAGATTACTCAAATCATTCAATCCTCATTTAGACCATTATTGTCTAAAAATTGTTGGAAAACATCCAATTTCGGGCCACTGTACTAATTGTTTTTGTGGGCCCTATACAAAACTTCCAATAAAATACATCCCATTACAAGTGATACGAGTGTCCCAAATACGATTCCTACTTAATATATTCCCTAAATTTATATCATAAAATATTATTTAATAAAAATTAAGTATTCCTATCAAAATTTCCAAAATTACAAATTAATTTCAACTGATCCTTAAAGTAGCCGGGCTCTTGTACTCCAGGTCCCAACAGCCCGCATTGATCAACAAATAAAATACCGTATGATTTTTATCATTCCGTATTACTTTCAAGATTAATTTTATACATTTTATACTCAACTTGAATGTGATACAAAAATGTTTTATAAAAATTATACTATTCTTCCCTACGATTATTATTAATAGAATATTTATTTTTATAAAGAATTTTTAAGAAATAAATATAATTATAAATTATATTTTATTCTTAGGTACTAGAGTTCAACTCTAGTAAAAAAAAAGGGTTTAGTTAATTTTAGTACCTATTTATTGTATGCTTTCATAATAGGCCCTCCGGTTTTTAGAATAGTTTAATAATAGTAAAATTAGTTACTTTTATTTTTTGTTAATCGTAACTAATGTTATACTAAAAAATAAGGTTATGCTCAAAAACAATATTTTTTTTAAAAATTATTTCTTGTCTTTATGCATGCATTTCATTATATAGTTGTTGACAATTCAAAATCTCTGAAAGTATTTTTTTTTTTTGAATTACACCAAAATGGAAGTGAAACTAAATGTTAGAGTTCAACTAGGAACATCGTGTATGGTTTATAGAAGGTACATGCGTTTTACTCAAATAAAAAAAATACTCCTGACTATTGGGAACGATTTATAGGTATTGGGTACCCGGAAAATCAATTTAAACTTTGGGCTCAGTCCGTACTATTTATTAGAATAAAGGTGGTTGAGAATTCTATCTCGAGGCTATCAAAAAAAAAGAGAGAAGCCGGACGGGTTACAAATTACATACAGGTATACCAAGTATTGGGTATTCGTATCTGTTATAGGTTACCCAACCTTGGTTGTGATGTTTAAATACGTGGGTTTTAGTTAATATTTTAATACGAAATTAAAATCAGTGATAAAATCAAAAAGGTTCTGAATGGAGCTCTGCAATCTGAAATGCGTTTTATGCAAATTATTATACTGGTACACGTTTAAAACCTTAAACTCATTTTTCCACAAACTATATATTTACAAGACGTCTCATAATGGTTGTTTTCGCAAATACCGATTCACTAACTATAAGTTTATAACCACCTCCTGCCAAAACTTTAAAACTTACATAACTATATTTGAATTCTTAATGGAAACGAGAAGTTCAACTTTTAAAAGATTTACATAAATTAACAATACCTACAAGATTTTTAAGTAACACAAAAACAAACATTTTAATTTTATTATTTTGAGTTTTGGTAGACATAAACATTTTATTAGCTATTACAATATATGCTTTCTAATCCCCAGTATTAAATTCTCAAAATAATATTTAAAAAAGTTAGGTAAGTACTAAGTAGGTACCGCTATACAATAAGTATCGAGTGGGTCACTGCAACGGATGCATTGAATTTGAATTACCTACTAATAACCTTGTCTTAAATGTTCAACCCTTATCTAAGAAATTGAAAATTTTTTACATTTTAACTACGATAAAATCTAAAAGAAATTGAAAATGTATATAAATAGTAGGCACAAAAAGAGTAAATCATCATATAAACACGAGGTAAACATGTCAAGCACCTAACTAAGGTTTTTATTTTGAAATTACAAAAATATCGAAAGTTGATCGAGGAAAAATAGTTAATTTTCGAGAAAAAATCCAATGTCGAAAATATTTGCAATTCGATATCTCATAAAAAATTAATTTGACGTTCCGGTAAACTTTTTTTCTTTAAGGTAAAAAACTTATGAGGAATCTTCTATTATATTTTTAATTCTTAAAATAAAAAATAGAAAAAGTTTACGAGTCACAAAATAATTTTTTAATTTTCGCAATTTTGATGAATTTGATGGAAATTTAAATTTTGCTTAGAATCTAAAATATTTAAGATATTATTGGAAGTTAGATATGTTATATTTTATTATTATTGTATGTATGGCAAGGATAAACGTAAACAAAAACCAAGGGTAATTAATATGTGGTTTGATTTTTATACGACTACGTCGTTACGGTATGATTCCGCGAGCTCTTGTCTCGTGTCTGTCAATAACCCGCTATAGAAGATACAATTATTATGATTTGAGCTGTGTGTATCAAACAATATACTCAATAACGATTGAATAAATAAATAATAACGAAATTAAAACGAAAACGCGCGGAACCTCACAAGTTATATACATTGCACTAAATAATAATATTGTTATAAACGTTATCATGCAATATTAAATCTGTTATATACCTTGCATCCTTCGCACGACGTGACGCCATAATGATACCCAGACGCTTTGTCGCCACACACACGACACGGTACGAACGATTTGGCCGGCGTAGTGTTCGAGTCGGCTGCCGCAAAGTGTTGATCTGTAAACAAAACGTATATTGACAGATATTTGAACATCGCAGTAGAGTATAATGTTACTTAAACTTTTTATTTGAAAGGGAAACAATTACATACTCAATATTTTCACACAAATATTACAAATAATATTCAGAGAAATATTTTCTTTATTAGTTATGTCTGGTTGGTCATCACTCATCATTATCAAAAATTGTTTTATCCTCGCGCTTCTATGAAAATGTAGCGTCAATCAACAGCTACAACTAGTATTTACATGAGATGTTTCGATGAATTTTTCCTAGTATAGTCATATACATATTATATACTTATAATATCATATTTTATAAAACTCGTGTTACCATGTAGGTACAATATAAACAAAATATGTACTTTGATATTCATGATTTCATCGAATTTCATTGTTTGATCATTGGCAAATGTTGATGAAAATTAATCATTCAAACTAACTATACCAGATTATTAAGTATGTATCCAACACGCATAAGTTATTATTCTTATTTCCAGCTTACTTAAAACATAAATACTAAAAATGTGTGACGTTTTTCTTGTATTACGTATAATAATCGAATATACTATTGACGCCGATACGGAGACAGAGATACTTATTCCAAAAATGATATAATTTAATATGATATATTGGGGGGGGGGGGGGCAATATAATTTTAGATTTGATAAAATAAATTTGATAACTCACAATATTTTTACATATAGTACTTGGAAACATTAATGTAAAGTTAAGACTTTTAAAATAAAGTCTTAAGATACCTAGCTAAAGTACCTGCTCGATGAATTTCAATATTGTTAAAAAAATTAAAAAAAAATTATATTTCTAGTAGGTACCAACTAGCTTCCGGAGTTTTTAAATAGTACCTAAGTATAAGTGTACATTATATTTTCTGCGCTCGGAGGAAACGGCAATATCGTTTTACCAAAAACTACCGACATCGATCCGCTACCCGGCACTGTGTATAATATATATACAAATGTATATATATATATATATACAAACGTATATAGACGGGGCCTCGGCAGGGAATCCAAGAAACTAGGTCACCAGAACTGTCACGCCCTACATTTCATGGCACCCTCACGATATACATGTAGGCACTGCAGTGCATCTATATACATATACAACACCAACCCCGTTCTATGTACATTATATTTATTTTTTTTTCACCCGCCGACAATAAATCATGTAGCCATTTCAATCATTGCAGCAAAAACAACTCGACGAGCATTTCTTGATTTTTCGTTTGTACATACATATTAGTTTATAGTATACTGCGTATTGTGTATATAAAATGGAAAACGAATATCAATGAAACTTATGCGCAGATAACTATCCGACATCGATCACTCATTACGTACATAGACGTTGTCATTAAACATGCAAATCGTGGATGTGTATTGGCTATTGGCTAGTGTGACTATAATAGAGTAATAATACTAAAATAAATGTCAGAGAGGATTTATTCACATCACCGATGAGTATATGCCATATAATATTATGATGTCCGTAGGTAAATTTCGGTGATTTCAATATCTTTACAGACGAGTGAATACTGTATGTACTATAATATGTTCTTATAATATGTACTCGTTCTATATAGCCGTGCTTGTATTGCAATTGAATATTATTTAATGTCGATCAACTCGAATACCATAAATATACAAAGATCGTAACAATATTATATCAAGAGGGGTCAACATACGTTTAATACTTCATCAGTTCATCAAACTGATTTTAACACCAACAGCAGATGGTGTTTAGGTAGGTAGGTACTAAGTACTAAATTAGTTATTATAATCGCAACCGTTATAATATTATAGCATTATACATACGTCATACATATTATACTATGTATAGACTATGGAGTAGTGTATAAAGTATATTCGTGAATAAATACATTTTAATAAGATCAGTGAGAGTAATAATCTGATTATCCTTCGTTAACTATACTTTAGTATGATAAACAAAAGGAAGCGAGACGAAAATAAAATGTTCCTAAGTATAATACGATTATAATAATGTCGAAGTGAAATATGTAATATAGGTACCTATCTCATAGGAACTCGAAAATATAGATGTGTAAAAAACAGTTTATTTTCTAGGGACGAAAATCAAATTCATCCAAATGTCTTAGCTGTATATCCTATAGAATGTATTATTATTTATTATTATATGCGGAATGATACAAATTGCAGCACATTGCAGTGAATATCTGACAAATCGAGCTTGCATACGCACCGACACCAAGTGGAAAATTCTGAGATTTGCGCGGGCAAGAAGTGAACTTTAACAATGTCCCGGAGGCCGTGCAATAACAATACACAAGGCGGAAAAAAAATATGATCGTTACAAATGTTTCCCATACTTACATCTGTACGCGATATTATTGTAATACGAGAGTGACGCACGTGTTGAGATTTGAATGCCAAGGCGGTGGCGGTGCAGGTGGGTGTGTGTGCCGTCATAATAATAATAATAATAACCTGGTAGGTGTACTACAACACTGATGTGGTATATAGGTATATACATAGGTAAACGTGCTTGATATTATAATAGTAACCGGGCGAAGAGTAAAAATATAATAGTAATAATAATATAATGTAGAAAGAGAACTATCTGCTGCAGGTCTGGCGAATACGTTTATAAACCTACGTGTATATATATATATATATATATAAATATAATATAATATTATTATAATAGCAGTCGACAGCCGTGTGTATCTGCGCGGTCTACTGCAGCGTCTATATAGAGAACATCACGATTACATGTTATATTATTATACATTACGATGAAAAACGATTATTATCTACTCATTCGTATAGTATAATATAATATACAGCAGAGAATAGCGAGTGCAGGACACGCAATCGCTGTGTAACAAATTCAAACCAAAAGCACATTGGCACTTATATAATATATGTATTTAAAATATTGACATACGCGAAAAATAAACAATTTCAGTTTTTACAATTTAACATTCAATTTAGTTGCTCTGTCTGTTATAATAATATCATATACATACATACATCCGCGATGAAATGCAAAAAACCGCTATAGTACACTCAATAATTATAGGTATAAAGAAGTTGCAATTCTGCATCGAAATTCGAAATATTTCGAGAAAAACTGCTATTTATCTATTCAAATCCAATAATATAAAATCACATATTTGAGACCCTACAACATATATTTATGTATATTATATTATTATGAAAATGACACGTTATACTACTATAGCGATATGTATGGGTAGTGAGTCCTGTGTACTGATAGTTTTCACCGGCAAGTAGCAGGCTATACGCAAAAACAATAAGAATGTGGACAAAATCCAATGGTCCTATTACATTACTTAATATATTATTATTTGTGAGCTCATAACCAAAGCTCAAGAGGACCTTTACCTACACATCCTACTACGCGGTCTTAAATAAGCTAAATAAAACGTATTGCATTATTATTTTTAAGTAAACCTAATACTTACAGGTGTTACACCATGTATATAAATATATAATGTACTAGGTGCTGCCTAACATATCACAACAATTCAATAGACTATTCTAAAGTAAAATTCTCAACGATGTGCCCAGTGGTCCCACTAGGGGGACGGGTTTGTGCACAAGAAGTTGTGATATTTTCGTTGTACGATTTAGAAACCCATTAGGTATTAAAAAAGGGTTTTCCAAAATGTGCATTTCATAGAGGTTCTCAACCTAGGATTTCGATATTTAAAGTGGAAATGGAATTTTTTTTATAAATGGTTTCTGTTGGTCGCAGTCGCTGCAGATAATAATAGAAATATAGTAGAAATTAGTTATTGTTTGTACATAAATGGTGGCCATTGGTTACTCAGGCAGATAATCAAAAGTTAGACAAGCTACTTGATTGATTTTTATGCGAATCTCAGACATTGTATTCAAAGATATCAGAAAAGCTTAGAGAATAGTTTACATTTTGAACAACCTAATTTAAAAAATACACCAAGTGCCAAATCCAATCCGCGACTTGTCCTTGCCCATCTAGGTCAAATTATTACACAAAGCTGTGTACACTGACACCAATTTTCCCCTAAAGTACCTATATTAAAACCGATATGCGCCTATACAGCACTGTATTTTATATTTGCTGATTTGTGTTTTACTGCTAACTTATAGATACAAGTAAAACAATTTAATTCATAATATAACGATTTTACTCATACCTCTTCGTCACCACCAACCGGAATTTCAAATTTTGATCAAGCTATATTTATTAATATAACAAAATACAAAGTATTATCGGCGATTTAATCGTACCAAGTTGTTTTCGATTTTTTTTTTTAAGAAAACGGCTACTGTAGTAAAACTTCCAGCTTGGATTATGGATACGGGCACGATAATATTATTATAAAAGCGGGATAACCATGACGAGCTCAATTTTCAAACAAGTCGTTAATATACGATAATATTGTTATACAAACAATAAAACAACAAAAATAAAAAATAAAACTTTTTACCAAGCGATATCGCGCATAAACGTTTTTGTATGTACTATGATAAAATTAAAACGACCCGAGAACGAAACGAATTACTCTATACAGTCGCGCGCGCGTTTTAGACGTCAAAATAAAACGTCGTTTACATAATATATATATTTATATATATATATATGCCGCGGCGGGTAGGTACAACATAGCGTAATGTTTAAGACTCACGCAATCGGCAGGTACCTGAATACTAGACAGTGTTCGCGGTCCGTAATCCGAAATGAAAAGTCAAGCATACTTCTATCAAAAAAAATGTTTTCCAAAAAATCACTGCGGCTATATAATATAATATACCTACCTACTCTGCGGCCGAGTCGACGGGTGTTTTTTTTTTTTTTTTTTGTTCAAGTCTCATCCAGTAGAAATGTTTAATACTCGACAGCTATAGATATTATAATATAAATAGGTGGGCTAGGCCATACTATATATATATATTGTATAGGTACACGAGCATAACCGGTACTCCG